GCTGGAGGAACTATGTTTCTCGTCTGGCCTGGGAAAGCCTCAGGATTCCCCCGGAAGAGCTGTCCCAAGTGGCTAGGGAGAGGGGAGTCTGGGCCTCCCTACTTAGGCTGCTACCCCCGTGATCTGACCCCGGATAAGCGGAAGAAAATGGATAGATGGATGGAACATGCAGTGTTACTTCTTCTTTCGGGTCAAATTAGGCCAGTACTCTCCCTGGTTCAGGCAGTATTATCTCTTTCATTTTTTCAAATGCTTTTTCATGTATCTCTTTCCATTTGAACTCTTTATTGTACCGTAGAAGTTGTCTGAGTGGCACGCTCACCTCGGCAAGTTTTGGTGCAAACTTTGCCAGATAATTCACCATGCCGCGGATTGGCTCCAGCTCTGTTTCATTTTCCGGTGATTGCATGTTGCAGATTGCTTTCACTTTCATGGGATCTGGCTCAAGTCCATTTACTGTGAGCTTGTATCCAAAATAATTGATTTCGCTGACACAGATGCAACATTTGTCTGGGTTGAGCTTTAGACGCTTTTCTCTTGTTCGGCTGAGCATGGCTCTGAGGTTGTGGTCATGCTCTTATTTTGTTTTTCTAAACATGATGATGTCATCTATGATGCCAGCAACTCCTTCCAGACCCTCATACGCTTCATCAATCCTCCTTTGGAATTCATCTTGGGCAGACACAGTGCCAAATGGCAGCCTGAGGAAGTGATATCTGCCAAAGATAGTATTAAAGGTAGTAAGCAATGACTCTTCACTAAGTGTGATGGCCCAGTAACCAGATCTAGCATCTAGTATGCTAAAATATTTTGCTCCTTTCAACTTGTAGGTTATGACATCTAGCATTGGGAGGGGATAATGTGGCTTCATTGTACAGTATCTTTATTCAGAGCTCTTGGGTCCAAACATATGCAAAGTTTGTTTGTTTTTGTTTTCTCACAGGTTAAGAGTGCATTCACCCACTGCGTTGGCTCTGTTGCTTTACATATGATGCCATGCTGTTCCATGTTTTCTAGTTCCTGTTTCAGGTGTTCTTTGAGAGCAAAGGGTACTCTCCTTGGGGGACAAACCACCGGTGTTACACTTGAGTCAATTCTGAAGCTGTATTCACCCTGAATACGTTTGAGTCCAAGGGCTTTGCAAGCTTTGTAACGTAGAATAGGTGGGTTATTGCAGTCTACAACATGGAATCTCTGTGTTGTTGTTTTGTCATTGTATCTACTGTCAAGGGTGCAGTGACCTGTCACCTTAAGTTACTGTGCTCCATATCCATACAGCTGGTACTTGTCTTTTTTCAAAATCATTTTTGGCATGAGTTTTTAAAGTCTTTTGTGGGTATCACATTTGTTTGTGCTCCTGTGTCTAACTTGAATGTTAGTTTCACATCATCTTGTCCCAGACATATTTTTGCGCATGCATTGTCCTCGTCCTCTTCTTCTGTCTCTGTGATGGTGTCTATATACAGCTCTGAGTTTAACCTTTCCTGGGTTTCTCTTATTGTGTGTACCTCTCTGGGTCCAGTTTTAAATGAAGCAAGAGATTTGGATCTGCATACCTTGGCATAGTGGTTGTATTTTCTGCACTTTAAACACTGCTTCCCTTTTGCTGGACATTCTGTTTGTCTGTTATGTGTGCTTCTACAAGCACCACAGCCTTTACTGGGTAATTTCTGGTTTTCTTTTTGTCTTTTTGTCTGCTCAAAGCCTGGTTTTCCTGTTCTTTTACCCACTGTATGTATTTCCTGGTGGTCATTAGCCATAACTTTAAAGCTGTTGCTGTGCTAACTCATGGGAGCGGGATATGTCAATAGCTTTGTCTATAGTCAGCTCTGGGCCTTGGCTCAGTAACTTTTCCTGCACTTTCGGTGAATTTGTGGCAAAAATGATGCGGTCTCGTACCATTTCGTCATTACTGGTGTAGCCACAGTCAGAATCAGAATAAACTTTATTATCATTGCACCGAGATACAACGAGAACATGCACGTACAGTCGTCCGAAAGATGGGCGGAGTGCACAAAGCTGCAACTATGGAAGCGCGGCCTTCTTATTCTTATTCAGAATAATATTTTGCTTAGATGAGAAAAGGAAAGAAAACACGAGGAGAGACAATATAAAAAAAAGATCTCTCACTCCGTGTTCTAGACAGGGCATGATTTGAAGCATCAAAAAAACCTACCACAGCAAAGCAACATTAACAGACGTTATACATGAACATATAGGCCGACGAAGACATTAAATTTTGTTGTGGCTTTTTCCACAATCGTGTTCAAGACAGCTGAGACGGTCACCTTAGTTCAAAAGATTTATTTGACAAACAGGAGTTACAGATATTCAGAGACAAACATTTACATTTGTTAAATATATGCTTATATTTGGAGCATTAAAGAACGAACCCTCTCGGTCTGTGCTTCCCCGGAAATGCTCACTGGGTGTGTGTCATTTCTGGCTTTTATCAAAGTTTGAGAAGGCTAGCTTTCTGATTGGTTCAGACCCTAGGTTGCTATGGTTACGGGTCTAGCCCGCCCCTTCAAGGCCCCTTCTTACTGCATTCCAGAGATAAGTTTTATGATACCCTGGTCTCTCTAAAATCAGGTTCTTAGTTCATGTTAATGTGTGTCTGTTTTATTGGTAATTAGTGTGTCATGATTGCTACACGAATAATTAATCCCTATTAATTATTACCTACCTTATGTGTATGTGTTAATCAATAAGTCTGTTGAAGGCCCCCAAAACCTGGTGATTCTCTGCTTTAAGGCAGATACATAATATGACGCTTTGTTTCCTTGTCTGCGTTTAGACTGTTAACACTTTGTTAGGGAGCATCTAATCATGAATTATTATTAAGAGAGAACCTGAGGGATTTTACTTAGTCAAACTATATTAAGTCTAAATTAAAGAAATGTGTTCTAGCTTTTATTTATGTTAATCAGTGTGTGTGTGCGGCCAGGCCACCATGTGCTCAGAGAACAAAGGACTCTTCCCTCCTGAGTTAGTCAGTAGTCAGTATCTTACCTGCCTCCTGGCTTATTTGATTGCTTGTAATATATCAAATGTGAACTTGTAAAATTATCATTAGCTAATATGAGATTATATGTAAAGGTAAAATAGTTAGAATTAGTAAACATTTTCTATAAATATAGTTCAACCCTTGAAGAAAGACACGCACACACTTTGTATAACATGACATTTGAATGCTTGATAGGAAATATAAAAAGGTATAAAAATATGAAATCCAACAATTTTTAAGAGAAAGTTGTAGCATAGTCCAGAGCCCCCCCTCTCAGCCATTGTCCAGATAAGAGATGACATTCATCTTCAGCTCAGTTGAGGTTCTGTCAAATGTCCACGGCCTTGGAGAAGGGAGGGGTGAGGAGATAGACAAAGCATCTTTGTTTTTTCTAAACATGCCAGGAGGAGTTGAGATAAGTCCGGTGTCAAGGCCACAGTTTGGGTCAGGCAGAACTCGTGAATTGCTGTTTCTGCATATCAAAGTCTCGCTGGTATGTATTCCTCTGATAGAAACTCCAAACAGCCAAACTGATTCCTTAAAGCCTTAAAGCTGAGCTCACAACTTCTCTAAGATTATTCCCACCTTCATGTGTGCTGCTATAGAGTTCACAGTCCTGATAACAGTTGCTCCAGTTCTCTGACGCAACCCCACATAATTCAGTCTGAGTGCTGCCGAGCTTCGACACATCCACATGAATTTGTAGACAATCCAGATTTCACCAGCCAAACAGCAAAAAAAAAAAAAAACAGTTGTCATCATGAATCCAATTTGTTTCCATCGAAGTAAGAGGGTCCTCCTTACCCTGACTCCTGTCGGGAGAAGTTGATCAATTTTGTTGAGAGACCAGCTGATCCT